TTTTAACATCTCTGGCCTGCTCCCATCTGCTCAGCCCCGGGGAAGGCCCAGAGTCTGAGAACACAGCAGCACTGACTGGGACTCGGGGCTGTGCCTGGGCTGGGTGTCAGGCCACAAGCTCAGGCATCAGGTGAACTACAGAGAGGACAGCGCCCTCACAGGTCATCATCCCTTGGTCCAGCTGGACCCCCCCCCCCCCCGCGCACGAGGCCTACTGGGTTCCACACTTCTCCGCCCCCAGCAGACACCTGGGCAGAACCAACCAGGAGGAGAGGGGGACATGTCCCATTTGGGGTTTCTCTTTACCTTAAGCTACTCACCCAAGATCCCCTTTGGGCTGTTGTTGGCTTTTTTGAGTTGTTTTTTGGGTTTTCATTACATTCAAAATGTGTTTTAAAACAAGTATTGCTTTTTATTATAAAAGTAATATTTAATTTATTACAGAAAATTCAGAATATAAAGCATGAAGAAGAAAATGAAAATCACCTATGATCTTAACTGTCCCTTGGATTCTGAGTATAGAATGATTTCAGGGTGTTCTGAAAGCAAGTCCCTCATGCGTGTGCTGAGAAGGGTCCCCTCTCAGGGGTACAGAGTTCCATTTCTCGAAAACTGGGAAATTCGACACCTTCAAAAGGCTTGTCCGTCAGACCTTTGATACTTGTCAGAGACCGATTTTGAGAGCCTACCTCGTTTTTTGGATCAACACTTCTCCTTCTTGATCCCTAACAACAAAGATTACAATTAGAAAGAAATCTTTAGGGGAGAGCCTCTACAGTCCAGCGGCGAGGCCACTGGAGGACAGAGAAGACCCCTGGCCAAGGCCGCAGGTGCCCTCTGGTGGCAGCTGGAGGAGGGGACGGCTTCAGGCAGGGCTGGGCCCCAGGGAAGTGGTTCCCAGAGTGGGGTCCCAGGATCCAGCCTCACTGGGGAACCTGTAAGAAACACACTTTCCCAGGTGTCATCCTAGACTTCTTGAATCAGAACACTGGGGGTGGGACCCGGCAATTTAGGTTTTAACAAGCCATTTTGGTGGTTCTCATGAACTCTGAAGTTTGAGAACCATTGTTCTAGGTAAGTACAGGCCTGGTCCCAGATAGCGTATTGCAACTGCATAGGACAACAGGGAGGCCAGATACATCTCATAAAGGTCACTGGCATGCTGTGTGGCCGCCCTCTCAACCCGAAAGCGCGCCTGGCACTGCAGAGGTAGGAAAGACGGGTAGACTGGGCTGTCTCCAGGCGAAACAAACCCTTCTTGGGTTTCTCGGGTGGGGCTTAAAGGCCACAGCGCCTTGTGTGAAGCTAAGCCTGGGATTCTTAGGACGGAGGTCAGAGCTACACTGGCAGGGTGATTCCAGAACCCTATGATGCCCATCCTGAGGGGATGTAAGATTTGAACTTCGGGCAAAGGCAGAGGAGTGAAAAGCAAGCCCTGAGACAGGAATGAGGCAGGAACAGAGTAAGCCCAAGGAAGGACGGAGGCAAGAAGAGATGGGTGGCCTCTGTAGTCAGATGGAAGGAGATCTTCGAGACATTCATTTAACCTTCCTGGAGGAAATGCTTTACAATTCGATTACTGTCAAAATGAAAAATCCCCACAGTGACTCAAGAGGCACTGGGGCCAGCACTTGGGGAAATCAGGTCTGAGACTCCAGCTGGGTGATGGATGGATGGATGGACGGGCCCAGCAGGTTCCCTGCAGCGAGGTTTCCCTGACGGGGAAGCGAGTGTTCTCCGCGCATCCAGCTGTTTAGGAAATCTCTGCACCTGGTGAAGTCAGGCAGGCGTTTGTAGAGAAAAATCTGACAAGAAAACAAAGTTTCGGCAGAAACCAGAGACACGCAGATGGAAGATGTCACGAAAATATGCCACTTCAAATTTTCCCGTCTCCTTCAAGAAACAGTTCTGTGTACACTGTCATTCTAACAGTACTGCTCGAGAGGCGCTCTGTTAAGACATAGTCGTTCAGATTACATGTCTAACCTAATTCACCTGTTCCCTCGGTAAAGGTTTCCTGAGCACTTAACTACGTAGCAGTCACTGTCCTGGTTTCCAGGGTTCCAGCAAGTAAGTAAACAGACACCCCTGCTCTCACAAAGCTCACACGCCCATGGGGGAGGGGGAATACTACACAAAATCAGCAGAATGGGTAAAGCCTAGGGCTCTTCGTCTCCAGCTTGCCCTCATCTTCCAAACTCTTAGCTCTGACTTTTCAAAGCCCGAGTGTTGGCTTTTCCTGATCCAGAAGAGAGGGAGGGATAGTGTTTAATCTTCAGGTTGGGGAAGTCAGCTCAGGATGGGGCTTCTAGCCCATAAACACTGCAAAGCACCTGGAATCCTCTCTGGGGATCTTGCTAAAATGCAGATTCAGATTGGGGGCGCTGCTGGGGAGAGCTCTCCAGGGAGTCAGGTTGTGGGGGAGGGAACTAGCCCCAGGAATAGGAATTCAGCCGGCTCCCTGCCCAGCCATGACTCCTTGCTACAGTTCTGGACTTGAAGCTGGGAGGCCCTGGATAGTTTGCAGAACACTCTTATGTGTCACCTAGTTCCCACAGCAACTCCTTCCAGGAGGCAGGGCAGCAAGGAACTACGCTCCTTCAAGGTGAGGGCACTACACCCACCCAGAGAGGTTAAGGGAGGTCATGGAGCTGGTAGCTTCGAAGCTGGGAGCAGACTCCCATCTGTGTTTAGAGGGCTTGGCTAAGCCACCAGGCTTCGGAGCAGCCTGGAGCCCTTAGAGCGAGGAAGCCAGCTCAGACCGGTAGGCACTGAGAGAAACAAGGCCAGGCACTTAACCAGCTGGGCCTAGCCGCCACAGCCCAAGCCGCCTGACCACACTTTCCAAGATGGGCTTCACTGAATTGGCTTCTGGGTAGGCTTCAGGTCTCCTGCTTTGGCTCCCTCTAGTGCGATGTGAACTGGCCAAGAAGCCATCGGACAGCAGCCTTGAGAACATTCGGCAGTCCCGGGTGGCTGGCATGGCCCCCTGAACAGAGCCAGGCGAGCAGGGTGAGTTGGGATGGTTAGGAGAGGACTAGTCCCTTCCTTCAGGCCTGGAGCCAGGAGGAATTGTTTGTTCCCACTTTATAGGAAAGATTATCACAGAGAATGGACACACGACAGCTATTTCCTTGTCAAGCTGGGGGACTGTCAATAAAGAGAGGTTATTCAGCCGGTGAAAACACACCCAGCCCGCTCCTTCTGTAAACATTTAACCATACAGAATGGCAAACACGGCTTTATGGCAAGTCATCAATTACAGTGTACTAAGAAGTGGAACCCCTTCGCCATGGGCCTAAAACAACAAAGACAACAACTAGAGATTTTCTTGGGGCAAAAGAACGTGCCAGTGAGAATGCTGTAGGCAGACACGTCCCTCCAGTCCTCCGGGGAAGGTGAAGGCAAAAGCCAAGCCAAGGTGCTTCCCTGGGGTGGGAGTGGGAGGCGGGCAGCCCTGCTCATGGCATTAAGTGGGGCGTGTCTGCAAGAGCTGAAGTGGCTGAGACTCAGGAAGGCTATCCAGCAATAGGGATGGAGGGTGAGGTGCCAAGAGCAGAATTTTCCAAAACCGGAGCCAAGATCAATTGTAACAATGGCCAAGAGAGGGAAGCAGGGACTGAGAGGCAGCTGGCTTCACAGGAGATGAAAACAGACAAAGCCTCTAGAAACACAGGAGGACTTAGAAGTGGCTATCTCGGAGGTCAGTTCAGGATCCAGAGCAGATAGGAAACCCAACAGGCTACTGGTCACCAAGTGGCCCCAAAGATTCTGGAAAATGGGAAGGAAATTTGCTCTCAAAAGATTTTCTTGCCAACTACCTTCCAACCCCACCCCTAACTTGCTTTTTCAGGAAAGGAGGATTGTACCAGAAAACAAGTTAGCCGTGGTTCAAACCATATGTGAGGGAGAAAGAAATTCCAGAGGTGGGGGTGGGGGCTGGGAGGAGAGAAAGATGGAGGGAGGGAGGGGAGGAGAGGGAAGCATGAGGTAGAGAGAATGAGAATGTGTATGTCTTAAGCTGGACTAGAACTAAAACCAGCTTGAGACCGTGCATGGATTCTTCCCACATCCTGTTTCTGCCCCCGCATGGAGCACTGCCCCCGACAGGGCGCCGAGATGAGGAGAGAGCAAGAGCGACCACCGAGGGCCCATTCAGAACAATCTACCTTGTTGTCCCTCCTGCGAAGTTTAAAAAGGCAGAAAACTAGTTTTATCTGTAAGAAAATGTTTATTCTTTTGAACCCCACAGGGGGAAAAAAAAAAAAAAAGAATGCAGCCAAGACCACATGTATAACGAAATAGTGTCCCAAAAGGCAGCAAAACGGGGGGAACCTCAACACAAAGTCAGGGACAATTTTCCATGTTTTTGCACAAAGATGAAAAAAAAAACAAAAACCTATGACAATTCTGAGTAACACTTCCATGGCGACAATTACACAAGATGATTCAAAAATGCAAAATGGCAGCAACATGCACACCTGGCTAAAGCTAGAAGATTTTTTTAACCCCAAAATAAGATCTGTGATTAAAAGGATGATTCTTTTTAATACTTCTATTCTGCTGACTCGCTTGTCCTACCTTAATCTGCTTTAAATATGACACATGCCAATTAACAGGAAATTTGAGAAGAACTATGTCCTTCCAGAATCCATGGCAAGGAAGCAAAACCCATCTATTTGGTTTCTTAAATTTTCCTCAGTTTCCCAATACAATTTTGCTTTGCCCCTCCCTCTCCCAGCCCCTCCCCCTGCCCCACCCTGGTTCTTAAACACTTCCAAAAGTTGCCAAAACACTTTTCTACAAGTGTCTAATATACACTTGGAACTGAGATCTTTGTGCAGAGTTTTGAGTTTAAAACTCTTAAAAAAAAAAAAAAAACACAACAAAAAAGAACTCCTTGGCACAAGAGCTGAGGAATAGTCAAGTTTCTTTTAAATCATCAAACACAAGATGATGAAGAGAGGAAAGCACAGTTAGATGAAATGAAATTTAAAAAAAAAAAACCAACCCAAACCTAGAACGGCAGCTTTTTGTTCGCTGTCCTTGCAGTCTCTGGCACACAAACACCGCCCGGCTCCCTGTCCCAACGTGCTGGCCTCGAGACGAGTCCAGAACACCGTGGTGCTTTCTCTGAAAGGACATGGGCTGGAGCGGCAGTGGTCATGAGCCCCCGCTACCTGCCAGTTTCCAGCAGGATCCGCAGTGAGCTCGACACAGAAGACAGATGATGGTAAAGGGGGCAAATAGTTTAAAATCGTCAAGTTTCCTCTTGAAATGTTATTTTCCCAAGGCACTGCTAGCAGTTTTCTAGGACTGAACACCCGAGGGGAATAGGAACATTTCAGACACAACCCCGGGGACACGCTCATAGCTAGTCTCATCGCCTCACTCCCCTCGGCTTAAACGACACTCCCGGAATTTGTTTGGTCCTTGGAGGGGTAATCAGCTTTTGTTTTCTGTAATATCAAGAATCATCTTCTGGAATGCAGCTATAAAATCAAAGCCGTGTGAGGTTATTAACCCTTCCACTCTAGAAAGGAAACGTTTTCATTAGCATCCCATGTGAATCCAAAATGCAGGTTTTGCTTGCTTATTTAAGAACAAAACCAAAAGAAAGGGGGGAGAAGAAAAAACCTTGCTTTTTTTTTTTTTTCCTTCTTCAAGAGGAAACTGTAAGAATACATAAAAGGCAAAATTGGCTATTTGAAATCCAAGAGTGGTTTTAATGTATTGGCCGAGAAAAATAAACTGCAAAGTTCTGTGAGGTCTTCTAAAAATTTACAAGAAAAACTGATGGGCAGTTCTAATCAGACTTGGATGTTATCTTCCCCCCCTTTTTAAAAACGACAACATATACAGTCCCACAAAATACAATATAAACTTTTTTTTTTTTTTTTTTTTTTATCTTGACTGCCAGAGATGCTCCTTTGTGATGCCTTCTGGTAACCAAATGGTTGGGCAAAACCCACAGCTGGTCTTCATTTCTTCAGGGGCTGGTAAACAGAGGCATTGGGATCGAGTCCAGAGGGGCTGGTCTCCACAAATTTGGAAGAGTAGTGGGGGGAAACGGGGCTCAGGGGGCTGGTGGCAGCACTGTACGTTATGCTGGGCATGACGGCCATGACTTCAGCTATCTTCTGTTTAAGGTCCTTGATTTCCTGGTCTTTCTGAAGAATTTGTCCTGGAAGATCAAAGACCCACCATTAGTGAGAAAGGAGGGCGCCTAACACAGTGCCCTTGTCTCGGGCCCATCCCAAGTGCATTTCGCTCCAACTCTGACTGGCTTTGACGGTCTGTAAGGGTAGGAACTTTTCTCTTAAGGGCCAAATAGTAAATATTTAAGGCAATGTGAGCCACAGACCGTCTTTGTCATTTTCTTTTCTTCTTCTTTTTTTTTTTTAGCCTGGAGAAATATAAAGAACATTCTTAGCCCACACGTGGTGCAAGGACAGGCAGCAGGCCACATCTGGCCTGTGGGCCATGGTTTTGCAGGTTTCTGGAAGGGGACTCTGTGTAGGTGCAACAAGCAAAGAGATCACTTTAGGAGTCACGTTCTGAACATGGTGGTGGCCATGGCAGCCAGAGGCACTGTGGGTTTTACACTAAGGCCGTACCTCTCGAGCTGGACTGTTTTCCTGGGAGGCGGGTATCTGGGTGTCAGCCCCAGGCACACAGGACAACTGAGGCCGCAGTGTCAGTCCCCGCATCTCCACCCGCAAGGGCTCTGCCGGCAGATACAGGCAGACATACCGAGCTCTGCAGCAGCTGCCCCCGGGGGGCTCCTATGTGGCTGCCCCTGGGGGGCTCCTATGTGACTCAGCGTGCTCGCCCCTCCCTCTTGGCCTCGTGCCCCTCAGCCTGCTGGCCCGCTCTGCCCCTGGCCGGATGCTCTCACAACACGGCAGCACATCCCACCCTCGCTCACCTGGCTTAGCTTCTAGATCCCACCAACCGTTGCCTGCCTTGGACCGCTTCCCTTTCCATGCTTTTCCTGCACTGTGTTCACGCTGAGGTTTCCACTTCCTCACAAGGCTTTCCCTGACCCTCCTTTCTAAATCAGACCCGACCCTGCCCCCCAATTCCTAGATTCTCAACACACCCTACACTCGCCTTTTTGTCACTTTCTTCTAATAAGGATAATAAGTACAGTGGCTAACGCACATGTGCCAGGCACCATTCTAAGTACTTAGACTCATTTATTTAGCACAATGACCCTACGACATGGGAATTATCATCATCTTCATCTTCATCTGTTTTACGGATGAGGAAACTGAAGCAGAGAGAGGCTGAATGACAGAGCCAGGACCCAAGTCTACGCAGTCTTGCTCCAGAATCTTTACTCCTATGGCCTTCTTCCGTGTCTTGTAACTATTCACGTGGAGATGACTGGCGTCCGTCATCTCTCTGGTGGCCTATGAGCTCCATGAGGGCGGGAACTGTGTTTACATCTTTACTCACGGCTAGATCCCTAGTGCCCAGCCCAGTAGAAAGCTGAGGCTCTGCAAGTTCCATATCTTGCCAAGAGCCAGTTATTAAGAGGCAGAGCAAGATTTAAACCCCGCACCCGTATTCCAAAGACCGTGTAATTTCCATCATGCTTTGAAGTTCCCTGGTCTACTCAGGGAAGGACACTTAGGAGTAGCCCCTTGGAAATTTAAATAAAAGAGAGGTTGCATTTGAGTTGCACTCATTTTGAGTCCCACGGAAGATGACCACGGATCTGAAATGGTAAAAGAGCACGGTGGCATGTTTTTAAAAAGGATGTAGGGGAGATGAAAGTCATTTTGGAACTGGGGTGAAGCAAATGATATTGAAGGGAGGAAGCAGAAAAGCAACAAGGGGTTTGATTTGAATTACAAAGTTGGGTCCTTATTAGAATATTCTGAGCTTGACAGTGGAGGAAGTAGAGAAGAGCCCTAGAAAGGAGCTGCTCCCTCCCTTCATGTCCCCTCCGCTTCAAGTTCGCATCAGACAGCCTCCCTTCCTTTGAACAAAATAAGCCTCAGATAAATAAAATACCTAATAGCATCTGATACGTGATTACGTGAGCCACTCTTTTTTTTTCCAGGCAGATTTAAGTTTGATTTTTTTAAATCAGCAACATACAAACATTCCCAGAGCTTTTGGAAAAGGCAATTCTCTTTGCTTTTTTGTCGCTTTACAGAATTCCTGGGCTGACAAGGAAGCGCGGGCTGTGCTGGTGAGCCGGACTCCCGGCGGCTAGAAAGGAGACCAGGTGCTCCTTCCCTCCAGAGGCCAGGACAAAGCCAAGGTAGAGAGGGGTGGCTACTTCACAGCAAGCCGAGCCAGGAGGGCAAAAAAGCCAGTGTATGGTCAGAAGTTCAGCTTGAAAGCAGAATTCCAGACACCTTCTTTTTAAATGATTCTTTTAGAATGCTTTCTCCGCCAGACCCTCAGCCTGCTTTCTTCTTGCTCTGCCCCCTGCACTGTCCCAAGCCACTCCTATGGCTCCGTTTGCTTCTCACAACTTCTATATCACCCCCCACCCTTCCTGGGGTTTGGACCTCTCTCTGGGGTTTAGATGGCAAATTCCCACTTCCACCAGGCAGTCAGGAAGCCACTGCCAATCAGAACATCTCCAACCAAACTCATTCTCTCTTCTCATCCTTCAAATCTGTCCTGCTCTTTTTCCTTCGCTCCTGGGAACTTTATCCTCTCCTACCCCTTGGGCACCTCCATTTTCCTTCACTCCCTGCCTGCACCATCCCCTCCCCCCTCCCACATCCCTCACCTCTTAGATGAAAGACAGTGCCCGCTTCCTCACAGGCCCCTCTGCGTCCATGCAATCTCACCTTCCAATCTACCTTTCGCGTTGCCATGCCAAAATGCCAAAATGGCAGAACACACCACCCCCTTCCTCCTGAGGATCTCGGGAATATAATCTCCAGGACGGCTTCATTTATGGTTCTCCCAATCTCCCACGTCCTCCAGCTGGGGCCACTGGTCTGCTCACCTGGACATTCTCAGCTTTTCTTGCCTTGGCTTACATGATTCCCTCGGTGGCAACGTTCTTCCCTGCTACTCTCCGTTCTCAGAACTCATCCTTCAAGGCCCATTCCATGTCCCCTCCCTTATGAAGCCACCCCTGATCTCTGCTCTGGCCTTTCAAGCCCTCTACCTCTACCTAAAGGCAGCAGGCCTTTTTGCTTGGCTTGCCCAAGTGCAGTAATTCTCACAGGGTTCGCAGGGTCCAAACCATCTTTGTGAAAATACTAACACATCATTTGACTTCTTCACACACATTCCCTCCTGGGGGTAAGTGGAGTCTTCCAAAATAACATGCAAGTAAAATTACAACAGACTGAACACAGAAACAGAGATGAGAACTGAAGTATCTTCTACTGAGCCAGAAATTAAAGAGGTCTGCTCAATGTAAAACAATGCCATTTTTCTCAAAATTTTTTTTGGTTTTAGGAAATAGTTATTTTTTATAAAAATATGTTAACAAGTTATATGTTTATTATGTTATTTTAAAGATAAATTAATACTCGTTTTAAAGTTTCAATTTCTAATAGGTAAATACTGATAGATATAACCCACTTGAAAAAAAATCTCCTTAGGGCACTCGATAACTTTAAGAGTAAAGGGGTCCCTAAGACCAAAAACTTTGAGCACCACTGCCCTAGTAGATCCTTCCACTAGACCGCGTCTTGTTCATCTTTGTCTCCCCTTTAGCTTCTAGCACAATGCTTCAAATGCTCTTTTTTTTTTAATTTTTTAGATTTTATTTATTCATCTGACAGACAGAGATTACAAGTAGGCAGAGAGGCAGGCAGAGAGAAAGGAAGGGAAGCAGGCTCCCCACTGATCAGAGAGCCTGATTCAGGGCTCGATCCTAAGACCCTGGGATCATGACCTGAGCCAAAGGCAGAGGTTTCACCCAGTGAGCCACCTAGGTGCCCCTGAAATACTCTTTAAGTACCTGCTGAAATATTCTTTTCCTAAGTCCAATTGTTCAAAAATCTGTTTCAGTAATTTATTACTGGATAATCAACTTCTTGGACAAAACTGAAATTGCTTTTCACCAGACTCTGTCATGCCTCTGTTCAGAAACTTTCCAAAGCTTTCTGTGCCACTCAGAGTAAAGCCCAAAGTTCCTCCCATGGGTTACAAAGTCTGGCAGAACGTGGTTCTTGCCAGTCTTGGCTTGTTGACTCCAACAACTCCGCCCATCCCTCCGGCTGCAGCCCCACCGGCTGCCGCCCATGCTCCTTCTCCCTGCAGACTGACCGGGCTCACTTCACTCTTGCTTTGAGCCTCTGCTCAGATGCTCCCTATTCAAAGGATCTTCCACGACCACCACGTGGAACCCATGTCCCCACGGGGACACACCCGCGCATCCTGCCTGACACCGCTTCGCTTCCTTCCCCGCCCGCACCAGCATCTGCTCCGCTCTGTGCTTGCTTGTGGCTGCCTGCCCCTCGGGGAGCCTCGGGGCACCTGGCATACAGGAGGCCTCAGGAAATACCTGCTGAGTGAATAGCCAGCTCCCCAGAAGCTGCTGCCACAGCTCCCTGCTTTGTAACCACGTAGAACCCGCTGCGGCTCGAACACATCAGCCCTCCTGGCTTCCCTGGCCTGGTCCAAGCTGTTTCTTCTGTCTCCGTGGTTCTCTGCCCCTCACTCCTCTACACTGCATCTTCACTGGGCTGACCCCTGCTCATCAGTCAAAACCTGGCTCAGAGTTCGGTTCCACTGGGAAGCAGCCCTCTCGAACATCCACCCAGGCGCGGTCCCTGCCTCCCTGTTCCCACAGCCTTACACCTATCACTGCATCAGCACCTTTCGATGGCTCTGCAGCTCTCTGTCTCTTCAACAGCACCGTGGGCTCCTTGAGCTCATAGTGCTCTCTGAATGCCCCACACCTGACATATTCTCACCTCAAAATACGTCTGCAGAATGAATTAATGTGATGATTCTTAGATGTCAATGTTGGGCCCCTCTCAAACCGCTCAAGAAGAAAACTGAATGCCCCCAAGCTCTAAGGGACCTCTGCTCTCTGCGTCCTTGCGTGTGCGCAGCCATCTCACTTCACCGGGGCCCGGGGCTCTCCTACCTTGCGCGATCTCGAGCTGTCGCTTCGCGTCCCCCAGTGCAGAGAACAGGTCCAGCTTGATTCTCGTCTCTGCACTCAGACTGTTTTCCAGGTGTTGTGTTTTATCTTGCATGGCCGACAGGGCTGACATTAACACCTCAGTATCCTTCTCGTTTTCCTTATACTTCCGAAGCTCCTATCAACATCATCAAAGCAGCAAGATGTTACAAGATAGTTTTGGCATCGATGTCTACAAATTAGCCTGAAATCACAAATAGAATCCCGCTATTACTGACCTGGCCCCCTAGAATACAGAATCCTGATGTTTCATGGCTTAAGACCTCACCACTCGGAGTGCAAGATGTATTTATATGATGATATGACATACAAAAATATTTTAGTAGATACATTTGACTATATTGGGCTGTTTCTAATAACAATAGACTGTCTCCAAATAAAATACCTTCTTATAAGCCTAATTCAGAAGAACCACAAAGAACTTTTTCCTTGCTGCCAGTTGCAAATGTTGCTGTAGTGCTGCAATCCAATTTGCCAAAACTCTACTCTCAACCTGCACTAAAAATTATAAAAGTGTTCATTATTTTGGCAGGACATACTGCAGAATAAGCCCACTTAAAACATCTGGTAATGAAGCCCATACACACACACACACACACACACACACGTGTGTGTGTGTGTATATATATAATATATATTAATGTATATTTAATATACATTTTGTATATTTATTTCATATATATTATATATAACAGCTAACATATTATATATTTACTAAGTAATGTATTTAATAATATTTAATATAGATATGTATTTTAATATATAACATACTTAATATATAGTAAAATACATGTGTATCTATATAGGTATTTTAATTTTTTCATTTTAAGACAGAAATCCAAACATACTCCAGAGAATTTAGAAATATACTAAAGTTCAAGGAAGAAAATGAAAATCACTTAATGTTTGGACACTGTGAAAAACTTGGTATTTATTTCCCTTTAGTATTTTATAAGCATATGTGTATGTATTAGCATAAATGAAATCATATTATATGTAGTTTTGTATACAGTTTTTTAAAAACTTATATAATCTCAACTCTTCTTTGGAAATGTAATTTTTAATGACTGTATAATATTCCTACTTATATGTATCATAATTTCTGAAACAAATCTCCCTTTGTTAAGGTTGGGTTTTTTTCACTTACATACCACTATGATGAACATCTTTGTATATCAATCAATGATGAGATTTTTAAATATTTATCTTAAGCAGGAATTGTAAAACAGGAAACACTTAAAAAGTTTATGAACTTTTCCGGAAAGTTATACCTCCTCCAGCGATTATGAGGCCTGTTTCATTCATCCTCACCCAGGCTGATGTTATTATTTAAAAAGTCTTTGCTAATTTCACAAAAGATAAGGGAAACAAAAGCAAAAGAAGCTACTGGGACAACACCAAAATAAAAAAGCTTTTGCAAAACAGAAAGGTAAACCTACTGAATCGAAGATATTTGCAAATGATATATTCTGCAAGGGGTTAATATCCAAAATATATAAAGAACTTCTACAACCCAACACCAAAAAATCAAATAATCTTACTAAAAATGGGCAGAGGATCTGAACAGACATTTTCCCAGAGAAGACATAAAATGGCCAACATATGAAAAGATATTCAATAACAATAATCCAGAAAAATGCAAATCAAAACCACAAAATCATTTCACTCCTGTTAGGATAGCAATTATCAAAAAGACAAGGAAAAAAAAAAGACAAGAAATAACAAGTGTTGGCGAAGATGTGGAGGAAAGGGAAGCCTTGTGTACTACTGGTGGGAATGCAAACTCGTGCAGCCATGGAGGCGCCTCAAAAAATTAAAAGTAGAAATACTGTATGATCTAGTAATTCCACTACTGGGTATTTACCCAAAGAAAACAAAAACACTAATTCCAAAAGAGATATGCTCCCCTATGTTTACTGCAACATTATTTACCATAACTGAGTTATGGAAGCAACCTAACTGCCCACTGAGAGATGAATGGATAAACAAGATGCGCACACGCACACACACAAAGAATATTACTCAGCCATAAAAAAGAGTAAGATCTTGCCATTTGTGACAACATGGAAGGACCTGGAAGATACTATGCTAACTGAAATAAGCCAGACAGAGAAAAACAAATACCTGATTTCACTGATACGAGAAATCTACAAAACAAAACAAAGGAACAAACAAAAGCAGAAACAGACCCATAGATAAGAGAACTGGTGGGGTGGGCGAGGTGGGTGAGGGGGTGTGGGAGGTACAGGCTTCCAGTTACGGAATAAGTAAGTCAAGGGAATACAAGGTACAGGATAGGGCACAGAGTCAATGGTGCTGTAACATCATGGTGGTGACAGATGGCAGCTAGTAGCTACATTTGCATGGGGCACGGCATGACATACAGAGTTGTGGAATTACTATGTCTTACACTTGCAACTAATGTAACATTGTGTGCCAAATATATTGCGATTAAAAAAGAGGAAATAAATTTCACAGGAGATAAATGATACCTACTGTTAATCTACAGGTCTTTGGCAATTGAGGAGAATATATTCTTACATTCTTCTCAGCCATTTATTTTTCCTCTGTGAATTATTCATTCATATCCTTTACCCATTTTTCCAAATATCAGAGTTTTACTTGACAAATTTTGTGAGTTACCTACATATCAAGAGTACTAATTCCTTATATTTGTTGTAATATCTATACTCTCTGCAACGGATTTTCTCTCTCTCTCTCTCTTTTTTTGGCTTTATGATTTTTTCCATTTTTTTGTTTAGAAAATCTTTCCCGGTTTCAAGATCAAATTCTAGTTTAAAACAAAATGCTTCTCTTTTCTGCCTGTATTCAACTCCATCTGAAATTTCTTTTTGTATAGTATGAGATGAGCTTTTTTTTTTTTTTTTAAGATTTACTTATTTATTTTGAGAGAGAGAGAGAGAGAGAGAAGGATAGCGAGAGAGCATGAGCAGGAAGGAGAGGGAGAAGCAGACACCCTGCTGAGTAAGGAGCCCGATGTGGGGCTCAATCCCAGGACCCCAGGATCATGACCTGAGCTGAAGGCAGACACTTAACTGACTGAGCCACCCAGGTGCCCCGAGAGACGAGCTTTTAATTTTATTTTTTTTTCTAGTTATCTAACTGTTCTGAAGCCTTTTTCTGACTAGTCCTCACTGTTTCCAACCATTTGTGCTGTTTTTACTGGAGACTTTATGCTCTGTCTCTAGGGCATCTATCCTATGCCACCAACTTGCCCACAATTTTGTAGCAGTTCCACGTGATTCAAATTACTGTAACTTCACGGTATATGATATTACTTTCGAGGGTCCCTTTGGAAAACCAAGTCCAAATACCTGGCTAAGGTACACACTGCCCAGAAAACTGGTTGTGTCCACAGCACTGGCAGCTTTCCCCATCATGCACTGCTCAGAACTGCAATCTACAAGGCTGAGAGCCATTCAGAATGGTCAATTCCCTGGCAATGCACAGAGGGTTAGGGCTAAGAAGCGGTGCAAAAGCTCCAAAGCACACTAATCTAGCCTATAACCTGAAAAAGGGAAATGAATCTACAGTAGGTCAAATTCTGGTATAAACTATGCCAAAAGACAGTCAATATTTCTAGTTGTATTAGAATCTGGCTAATTAAATATGACTTGAATGAGCTGGACAAGGCTAGAGCTTCTTTCTGTCATAGAGATTTTGAGACGCAGTGGGATTTGGCCAATTATCAAAAGGCAACATGTCGAGGTGCCTGGGTGGCTCAGTGGGCTAAGCATCTGCCTTCAGCTCAGGTCATGATCCTGGGGTCCTGGGATCGAGCCCCATGTCTGGCTCCCTGCTCAGCAGGGAGTCTGCTTCTCCCTCTCCCTCTGGCACTCATGCTCACTCTCTCAAACAAATAAAATAAAATCTTCAAAAAACAAAAAGGCACCATCTCCACATTGCAGCACTGGGTACACAAATAACATAGAAGAACCCAAGTAGGAGAAAGTCTTTCATGCTCCCCATACCTGAACTTTCAGTTCTAGTTCTCTGATCTGGTCTTCTTTCACCTTCATGTCCATCGTGAGCTTCTTGCCCTCTGCTTCTAATTCTCTGATCCGATTCCGTAAGGTTTCGGTGCACTCCCCCCTTTTAGAAAAGAAGAGAAGGAAAGAAAGGGATTTAAAAGACTAGCGGTTTACTTATGCTGCAAGAGTGATATTTCTCTTATACTCCAGAGTCTGTCAGGTTTTAGGTTTTGGCTCAGTCTGCTCATTCTCTGTTCCTTGAGAATTTCAATAATGATCTAAAATAATTAATTGGTATCTACTATGAACCAGGCACCAAATGAAGCACTTTACCATTTCTACCTTCTTTGCAAGCGTAGGATGTATTGTCCCATTTTCCAGATAAGAAAACTAAGACCAGGCATTTATAACACCAGTCCAACCTCACCTAGCTGCTAGGTCACAGCACTCCAGGGATAAGAACTAGGCTTTCCAGCTTCGCAATGCAGGAAGCTTTCCCCCAGGCTACATGACCTGAGACAGTGCCCCCTGAGGTGAGCAAGCAAGAACTGGATGTGGACTATCTCCAGCAGGGGGCAGTGAGCTAAAATAATTCTCCCCCGCGAGGGTCTATGCCTTGAAAAGTTCACCCTTCTTGAGTCATGAAGTTGCCAGAGCAATGGGTTGCTTCTCAGGGCTGCAGGAAGAACAAACTAAAAAACGTGACGGCAACAGCCAGTCCAGAGCTGACTAACCACTTAAGTTTCAGCAACAGCCAGAGGGAGAAAGGAGGTGTCCTCCGCCTACCAAAAAGGAAGGTCCAGTGAGAGACCTACACCTTGAGATTTGCTTGAGAATAAAAACAGCCTCTACCTAAGTGAAGGTAAACCAGGACCATCGACAAATAAGACCGAAGCAAGTACGCCTAACTGGAAGCAAAGAGAGTCAGGGAAGAGACTGAAACCCATGTACTGATGATCAGGCGTAAAATACTGAACAATACGGCTAAGGAGCTGTCATAACCTCCTCAGTGGACTTTTTGTCAGGGTAGGAGGTGCTGGATGAACGAAAGACAGTACAGGCTGCATCAGATGACTGTTCAGAAAAATCTCCCGCAAGTGTAAGTGCTTCAGAAACGTCTGCTTTGTACAGAGGCCTCCTTACGAACAAACCAAACCCCCGCATCCTAGGCAGGCTAGTGGCGTGTCCTGTGAGTATGTCTGGATGCTGATTGGCCAAGTGAGCTCAGCCATGTGCACTACAGTTGGCGGGGGTAGCAGGAGCACAGGGGAGGAAAGGGTTCTTTCTGGCTGTTCTCTCCTTAGACGTGGAATGACGATGCAACGGTTCTTCTACAAATGCCAGAACCCAAAAGAAGGTTTTTGACATGCCACATACAAAAAAGGAAAACTTAAGGAAGAATTACAGTATAATTCTATTGATACAAATTATGATAAAAATTTAAAATGAGGGGCGCTTGGGTGGCTTAGTGGGTTAAGCCTCTGCCTTTGGTCATGATCTTAGGGTCTGGGATGGAGGCCCACATCCGATTCTCTGCTCAGCAGGGAGCCTGCTTCCCCCCTCACCTCTGCTTGCTTCTCTGTCGCTTCGTGATCTCGATCTGTCAAATAAGTTTTTAAAAAAATTTTTAAATGAAATCAACAGGATGCCTGGGTGGCTCAGTGGGTTAAAGCCTCTGCCTTCGGCTCAAGTCATGATCTCAGGGTCCTGGGATCAAGCCCCGCATCGGGCTCTCTGCTCAGCAGGGAGCCTGCTTCCCCCTCTTTCTCTGCCTGCCTCTCTGCCTACTTGTGATCTCTCTCTCTCTCTCTGTGTCAAATAAATGAATAAAATCTTTTTTACAAAATGAGATCAATAATAATGTACCCTCACTCGCCACCTGTAAGCCCATAACTGACCCCCCACCACACAGATGGACTTCACTAGTCAAAAAAAAGAAAAAAATCCCTAAAGTGAAATAGAAGCCCCCCCCCCCCCCCCACAATGCCAAAAGGCTCTTAAAGATCTTCCCTTCTTGCTGGAATTCAGTTTCTGGAAATACTTGCATACTTTTCAATAGTACAGAAGTAATGCCCAATTCCCAACACTCCACAAATTCAATGGCATCTAACAGTGACTTATGTTTTGGGGTTTTTTCCCATCTTTTCCAGCTCATGTGACAGTTTGCTGATACCCAACCAAGATGGGAGCAGTCAGTCAGTAAAAAGGACTTAGGCAACCAAGATTTTCCTTTCTTCTATTTTAAGATTAAAAACTTCAGAAACACATACACCTGAGAGTAGAGAGTAATGACACAGAAAGGGAATGACATTCCAGACTGGAGTCTCTCCAGTGTTTAGAAGTTGTTGGCCACACAGAAAGTGACCAGAAACCCTTTGATGAGCAGCACTTTGCCTCCTGGGTGTGAGAGGCATGGTGCCGCCCTCATCCCACCTCCTAGATGAGGTCGCTGAGAGATGAAGCTGTTATAAGACCACGCAAGTTGCACAGATGGGGCTTAGCTAGTCAGGAAATAACACTTGGTGGCAACCTCTCATTGCCTGATGGTTCTGTTTCAACCCTGCCTGAGGCCTCATACTCTCATGCCGGTCTTGGTGCAAGGCAGATGCAGAGCACCTCATCCACCTCGGATGCAGAGCAGGGAGGTGCGGGGCAGGGGGCGGGGGGGGGGAGGGGGGGGTGGGTGGGGGGGGGGGGGGGGCGGGGGGGGGGGGGGGGGGGGGGGGCATCATGGACATACCTAGACGCGGCAGCAAATGCAACGGCCCGGGCAGCAGTAGCTTCTTCCAACTTCTTCCTTTTTTTCTCCTCCATTAATTGTTTTTCTACAAAACTTCGGGCTTCCTGCTCAGCTTTTAGCTTTTTCTCCAACTGGCTGATATTTTGTTTGTCTTTTTGCTTCATTTGCACAGCATTATGTAATCTATATGGAAACGATTATCATACAGAGTTTCATCATTAGAAATGCCCACTAGAAACTCTGGGGAAACGTGGCTCCTCTTTTGAACAGCAAATCATAAAAGTCAGCTTCCAGAGTGCCCGGGGAAAAACATATTGTCGTTATTCTTTAACAAGAGCAGCCTAACAAGATACAGAATAAGACCCAGCCTTTGCCCTGCTATGGGAAGCGATCTACAAAAGGCAATCCAGAAAAAAGGGATAAAACAAGTTTCTATCAGAGAAAAATACAGCTGTACCACTAATTCTAGTTGTGCCCCAAAGCACCTTGAGAGAACTTTCATTGATCAAAGAACTACCAATGGAACCAGCCCCATGAAAGCCGAGGTAAAGGGTGGAAGAGGGAAGGGTTTTTTTGTTTTTTTTTTTTGCCTGAATCTAGTTATGCTGCGGCCCTGCTGTGGCCTTTCCTTTTCCAGCTGTGAGCTGTTTTCTCCAAGTATCCCAAAACAGACCCTGGAGTTAGTCAGAGGGTGCTTAATTTCACAAAGAGATTTCAGCCGTATTCCCTTCCCTGCCTACTCCCACCCCCAGCATTCTGCGTCAGTACAGGGTGAGTTCATCTCAGTCTATCAGCGTCTTCGTATATGGGTCAGAAGCAACGGAGAAGTTACGTGCTTATAAGCCTCTGGCTTTGAGCTTTGTTCCTCCAGAATGTCGAAGGACTCCTCTTTCAATGGGGGAAGCCCAGAGCCTATGATAGTAATCATTACCCCAGGCACACACTGCCGAGAGATTTAAAAAAAAAAAAAAAAAAGGGGGACAGATCAATACTGAGTTAAGAAGTAATTCCAGGATGAATCAATGGGAAGTATAAACAAATTCACACAGAAGAGCTGGTTTTTTGCTTGCCTCTTCAAATGAAATCAAAATTCAGGGTCATTTTTTTGGGGTTCCAGATATCAAAGTAAATAAGAGTCTGTTCCTCTGGAAACTGATTCAAAGGAGCAGGATTTTCAAATCGTGGCAGAACAACTTCTGTCAACTTTACTTACAGTATCACAGAAGCTCAATGACTATTTTAAACTGAGAGAAGAACTTATTACATGAAAGGAAAGAACGATAACATCAGTAAACTGTGCTGTTGGGATGAGACAAGTTTTCACAGGCTTTGTAACATGCTGCGCATCTGCTGCTACCTTAAATATTTTCAACATTTCATTTCACAGCCCTGCGGCCAGGTCCCCTCGCCATCGCACCGCTTTTGCTCCAGGCCCTGGAACCACAGGGACGGCGAGGCGGCCGGGCTGGCGGCCGCAGCCGCCGGGCGCACGTACTTGTTCTGCAGCAGCTCGTTCTCCTGCCGGAGCTGGCCCATCTCGGAGCGGACGCCCCGCTCGGCGCTGGACAGGGAGCTGATCTGACTGCGGAGCTCCTGTTCCACTTGCCTGCTGGCCTGCAGGTCAGCCTTTAACTTTTTAATGTCTTGTTCCAGCCTAGGAGAAGGAGAAATGGGGCATTTTCATCAGGGAAGGGGCACCCACAGGGCTCTGCGGGAGACCCTGGCTGACGTCCCAGACTTCCTGGGATTGGGTTGGGGGGTGGCGGGCAGCGGCCGAAGACCCCCTGGGCAGCTCCTGCCAACGGCCAGACTCCTGTCTGCAACTGGCTTTCCACTGCGCACTTCCTTCTGCCTGGCCCCCCACCCCTTCCCACGGCCAGAGAGTAACCTGTTTCCTCCGCAGGCTGTGAGCATGGACACCCAGGTGCTGGTGAACTCCTGAGCTGCCAATAAAGGAGGAAGGGAAGGCAGAGAGAGGGTGGCCAAAGGCTTGGGTCCCCCAACACACACACACACACACACACACAGTGAATTTCCTATGCCACCCTGCTCCCCCCCAACCCCCGGAAGGGAGATGTATCAGTAACGGTCAGCTCATGCCCCACCGGCTCTGAGATGATTCTGATACACCAGAATTTACCCTCTCAAGATTCCCTTCCACCTTGGGCCCAGAGAAGAAGAGTGTCTCAGGCAACCTCTGAAATTGCTAGCATCCTTGCTACGTGATGTTCACACTTCCAGTGACTGTGACGGAGGAGCTCATTCGGCTCAACAACAGTGCGAACAGGAACAAATGACGCGCTCTGAGAATCATAAGACAATTCCGCCCGTGAGCTGAAGCCCATCTTTTCTCTCTAGTTCCTTAACCTCTGTTCCATCTGTTTTCTCTTAGTATAGTAACAGCTTTATTTTAAGTGACACATTTTGGGGAGCTATCACATGCGCAGGTGGGCCTGAAGAGAGTCAACAGAAAGTATAAAACCCAGACTCTCTTCATCAGAGGGCTTTGTAATGTCACTAGAGGCCAACAAGTGACGATTTTTAGAGGTGAGACAGCAGCACAAGGAAGGCTGGGTTAAATACACGTGAGAAAGAGTAACAACGTACTTAATGAGAACTTAGGTGCTACACACTGTTTGTTCCACAGGCTTTACTGGTATGAACTCATTTAGTCAGCACAACCGTAGGCTAAAAGTTTGTTATTCCCACTCTTACACATGAAGAGGTCTAGACTGGGGAAAGGCTCCAGCCCCAGGTGACACGGGCCCCAGAGCCCACCCTCTTCTCCAGCAGGCTGAGCCGTGGCCATGTCATCCATAGCTGGGGATGGACGAGAAGTGCCACAGGAGTTCTGACAAGAGAAGGTGGGAATTAGGTTGGGCCTGGAAGGCTGGGCAGGATTTGAAGAAGAAGGGGAGGAGGGGCCATTCTAAACAAGGGGAAAACATGCTCAAAAGCTCAAAAGCCACAGATATTTGGGGACGGAACAATCAGTCTGGCCTCTGAGGAAATGTGTACTCTGGGAACAGAGTGAGAAAGGGTAGAATGGGTCTGGAGGATGGGACTGTGGAGAACACTGAAGGTCAGGCCAAGGATGGCGGCTGGTGGGCCTGAGGATTTATGCTTTCTGACAAACGAAAACGCAGGCAAAAGTCAGTCTGCTCTGAAGAGACCCTTATGCATGTCGCGAATCCAATATACCAACAGAACTGAGACTTCTGGCAGGCAGTGGTGACCTCTCCTTGGAACTGCCAGGGCCACAGACTTAAGACCTTACAGACATGTTTTATTAAGCACCAAGTCCCCAGGGCCCACCACAGTGAACAACACTTACTAAATATATGTTGCCTGGCCTCCCTTGGAAAACCAAAGAGCGGCTTTATTTACCCATCTACCTTTAGTCAACTGAAACAAGATCTCAAAAACAGAAAGTCATAACACATTGATGGTCCTTTCCCAGGCATCGTAGCCTGTCCCCCTGTCCAATGTCCAGGAACAGACGAGAGACCTGGTTTTCCAGAAGCATGGCCTCGTCTCCTGACATAGCTCACTCCCCAGGGAAGGGTCACAAGTCAACATCACGCCACACTTTCCCTTTAGCCAGGGTTATCCCACTTGAATGTGCTCCCAGCAGTGCTCTGAACAATTACAGACTGGCATTTATATCATCCCCACACCATCCCTCGTTCACCCGAAGTAACCCAAGGGATATCTTCCAAAACAGGTCGATGCTGTCAGGTTATCCCCATTAAGCAGATGGGTTGAAAAACGTGTTAGGTTATTCATCTTTCTGGAGAAGTCAGTTTCAGTCTGAGGATTGCATTTCTAGTAGAAAGGGTGAGTTTCAAGAAGAGAATAGGGGCTTAGCATGGGGTTTAGGACCAGGATTCTAGATTCACACCTGATGCCAAGTCCGTGACCCTGGGCAAGGCATGTAACCTTCCAGGACTCAGTTTCCCCATTGTAGGCTAATGACCTCTAGAGTTCCTCCCGGTTCAGTCTAGGGTTTCTAGGCCTGACACACTTACGGCCAGCTGCTGATCTGCTTCTTCAGATTAGCAACCTAAGCTGTATCATACGCCGAGGCCCAGGAATCAAGTTCCACACAACCAGCCGACTGGGGCAAAGCGCTGTCGCAGATGGGAATGAGATCTGCAGAGGCTGGATGGCAATAATTTTGCAGTTATTATTTTGCACCTTTAATCTCTAAGGGCCCATTTTCCTACCCTGAACTAAGGATAATGACAATATTCTGAATGAAAATTTAGAGCTCCTTGAAAAAGGTAAAAACTCAAAGACTTAATGCACTTACGAGAACAAAAAAATACAAAATACTTTGAGTGTAACTTCTGGAAACCACAGAACCCTAAACAAAAATATATTTTCTGGGGTGCCTGGGTGGCTCAGTGGGTTAAAGCCTCTGCCTTCGGCTCAGGTCATGATCCCAGAGTCCTGGAATCAAGCCCCACATCGGGCTCTCTGCTCCGCAGGGAGCCTGCTTCCTCCTCTCTCTTTCTGCCTGCCTCTCCCTACTTGTAATCTCTGTCTGTCAAATAAATAAATAAAAATCTAAAATATATATATATATTTTCTTACGTAGAATTGTGAGATTTTGTCAAAGACAATACAGCAAAAATGGAATGACGTGGTTACCAGGGTTACGAAAATCCCTAAGGTTTGTGCCCTTTGGTGAATGTGTGTTATACTTCAACAAAAAAAGTTTATTTTTAAAATAAAATAACTTAATTTCACAAAACAGAGAAGTAAAATCAAAACGCTTCAGGATTTTCAAAACTGCCACCAATTTTGTAAGACTCGGAATTACTGTTCTCCAAACAGCTGCGGCAGACCTGTGAGCGAACATCAGCATTCCCAATTGAAGAGACTGGGGGAAACACTGCATGGTGACACACAACAAGATAACTTCGAGTGCTAAATGGAAAACTCTCAGGAATTTTTAAAACGTAAAAGGGGCCATTATGTATTGTCTCTCAGAAAAAGCATTAATTTAACCTTGCTTGTTAATTTAACCCATTTTAAATCTTAACTGAGGTAGGTGGTAAAATGATTTATAATCCCTTATTAGATCTATTTTTTATTGCAAAAGTGACATGGAGTCCAGGTTAAACACTGCATACAACAACAGAAAAGTAAAAATACAGAATAAAAATGTCAGTAATCCTTAATGCTCTCAACCAGACAGAAGCACTTTGGTACGCTTCTGTCCTGCACATGTCTTCTTTCTCTTTCTTCAAACATGTCAGTATTTTTTAATATTGATGAGACAGCACCATATATGCACTCTGCATCTCGCCTGCACCTTTCCACATCATCAGAAATTGATCTGTTCTGTTTTTTGTTTTGTTTTGTTTTCTTAAGTAGGCTCCATGCCCAATGTGGGGCTTGAACTCAGGACTCAGATCAAGAGCCGCTTGCTCTACTACTGACTGAGCCAACCAGGCGCCCCCCAGAAAATTTTCATAAGCGATTTAACTGCTGCATAATATTCCACTGTATGGATGCACTATACAATCCTATTTTCTTTTTCTTTTTCTTTTTTTTAATTTGACAGACATCACAAGTAGGCAGAGAGGCAGGCAGAGAGAGAGTAGGAAGCAGGCTCCCCGCTGAGCAGAGAGCCCGATGCGATGCGGGGCTCGATCCCAGGACCCTGGGATCATGACCTGAGCCGAAGGCAGAGGCTTTAACCCACTGAGCCACCCAGGCGCTCCTACAATCCTATTTTCTAAGATATATTCAATTTTTGCAGATGCTCAACAGAAAAATGTACGCAAGTTTTAAAAAAGAATTATGTGAATTAGGAACTTGAACTGAACCAAGCCAAAGTGCCAGGGACATTTATTAGACCAATAACTACTACTTGTCTTAATGGTGTACTTAACCCTTTGGTGCTGAAGGTCAATACTTCCTAGATAAAATGTTTGTGAAGCACCAAGAAGTACTGATTAAATGGTGTTAGAGGTTAACGCAAAATCTTCAAATGCATTCATGTGATTTTATTAAAATGTCAATAGCTGTAATCTGAATGAGAAGCGAGTGGTCAGCAAGAAAATGAGGCACACGTGTAACAGTTTATAACCCTTAGAACCTATTTCTGTAAATAAAAAAGGAAGGAGGAAAGCAAATGCATCCACAAGCTGAGACCGTTTTTAGCAGACCTAAATCCTACTCTCTTCCCTACACAAAAGATTAAGATATAAAAGGGAACTTTACTCCAAAAGAAGTGCAATCTCATCCCCCCAGAAAGAAAAGGAAAGAAAAGAAATTGGGCCAGAGAGATCTTAACAAACTTTGGTAAGTCTCAGGCAGGAAGTCAATGCACTTCCTGCTTGCCCAACTCCCGTGGCCCCAGTTTGCACCTTCGCAAAGTTTGCCCGATGCTGTTACCGCTTGGGATGCAGACAGGGCCCCTGGCAAAGCTGGAGTCCAAGTGCCTAACAAACATGTCCACTGGTGCCCAATTAGACAACCCAAGGCTCTAACCAACCCCAAATGTTACCTATTAGGTCCAGACACCTTTCCAAGCCACTTTTATTAATAATTTTAAAAGACAGCACCCAGGGGCACCTGGGTGGCTCAGTGGGTTAAAGCCTCTGCCTTTGGCTCGGGTCATGATCTCAGGGTCCTGGGATG